GTGTGCCTTGGCGAGAAAACGTAATATCTTCTACATATAAAGACGGAGAAAGTAAAGAACAAAGTCGGAAAATATCAGTACAGTATCATAGTACTTTAACATAATTGTTTGTGTTACTTTCGTTGCAGTTGTATGTCTTAAATGTAATGTAAATGTTGCCTTTGTGTGTGGTTCGGGGCCATCTTCGTGCGAAATTCACAATTCCATATTCGTGTGTCCATCGGGTGTCAATTTCGGGACAGTGTGACAGGGGCTTTAAGGATTGTTCCTGTTTATCTCTGACTCTCCCATTATTTCCCTCATTTATCCTCTTCTGTCCACCCTTACTTGCTATATTTATCGACTCATCTCTCTTCTTGTGTTCCATCCTCTCTCTACACCACACTTGGAGATTAGAACTGATTGTGGTATTTGTCGTTCTTTCTCAGGTGATAAATGCCGTGGAGCAGGACTATCGACTGCCCCCACCCATGGACTGCCCCACAGCACTGCACCAGCTCATGTTGGACTGCTGGGTGAAAGAGAGGAACCTGCGACCCAAATTCACCCAGATTGTAGCCACGCTGGATAAACTTATCCGCAATGCTGCCAGCCTCAAAGTGGTCACCAACAGCGCACAATCCACTGGGTAAGGTCCTTAAAAATCAAGTTGGTCACTTAAAGTTCAAAATCAGTATGTAAGCCAAGTAAATTAAAGCTTTAAGTCAAAGGTCGTATGTTGTGTAGCTCCATGAAGCTGGTGATTATTGAAATAGACTTAACCGTGAAGATTTTTTCTCTGGAGGTCCATTTTGAGTTGTATTAGGTTGGATTGGTGATGTTCATAATGGGCAATAATGTCTCATTATGATCATTGCATAATGGATATTAGTTCTGATTGCTTTTCTAAAAATCTTCTATGGTTTTCTTATGTCATATGTTAAACAGACCTGCTGGACTGCGTAATAGGTCATTCGTTTATTTAATTAAGTCACTTGACTTTTAAGCCGTGAGAGTCCAGGCCAAGCTATTTTATCTGCACTTGAGCCAGAGAAACCACTAAAAGGATTTCCGCTGTGCAAATATTACTTTACCAAGCTGATACTGTGTCGGCGAGTCTGTCTGACTCAGCTTTTACAATCTCTTAACTTCTATAAAGGGAAGATTTCTTTGCAAACAACTCTGTAGTTCTCACAAATGCAGCCAGGGCCCTTATGCAAATCCAAATTACCATGGCTCAATGCAGCCCTTAGAGCGACTCCTCTACCAACTGGGAACTAAATGAATGATGTCACATCCACATTTAGCTGCACTACCTTCCTCTGCAACCTGTTCTTGGAAAGAATTTGAACGATAGAAGGTGGCGGAGTCGAAGCGATAAGAAGGGGGATGACCTACCTTTCTGTCCCTGCATCAGGGTCTTTCTGTCTTGAGGGAGGGCCGCAGACAATCCTGGTTTAGACTCATGGGGGAAACCAGGGTCTCGGTTGGCCACTGGAGCGACGTTCTTAGAAGATTAAGCTTGCGGTTAATTAGCTCGATTAAGGAGATGTAAAAAAGAGATGGGAGCCTCTTTTAATTAGCCACTAACGAGATTTTAAACGGGCCAGCGGAGAGGTGGCCTCCTGCCGACAAACCTAACAAGGGAGGAGTGAGAGGTGATAGCGCCGTCCTGGTCGCCATTGAAGGGTGGCTGGAGGTTAACTAACACTGTCTGGGATAAAAGTCATCTGTTTTGTTGTGTAATATGTATTTGACATGACTGAATATGGCAGGTGTGGAATAAGCCACTGGGATTTTGTGATGTAAGGCTTCCAGCACCAGTTTCATGTCCTTCCTGTTTATTTGTCTGGAATGTAGTAGTTGTCGTAAATGCAGACATCTCTAAACTTCCTAAAGATACAAAACAGTCTAAAAAAGCGAACCCTTCGGAGGAACCTTGACAGTCCCAAACATTGACCTTGCGTTTGGGTTGTTACTGTCTCACTAACTAGCATACACTATTACAAAGTGTTCCTGCTGTGCTTCTGCTTGTGGCTCACATGTGGCCAGCTATGGTTTGGATGCTTTTGAAGCCAGCTTTAGAGACTGAGGACCAACAATACTCCATTAAGAGAAGCCAGAGCCTTGCCTTAACGATGGCCCGAGGCCTTGGGCTCTGCAGCAAAGGCCTTATTAAAAATCACTCCATCTACACCACTCAATGGAGCCTCTGTATCACTGTTATTAACTCCCCCTCCATGCCTTTTTTCTTTTCTCCCTCTTTCACTCTCCATTCCTCTTTTAATTGTTAATGAATCTAATGCCATCAAAAAGGATGACAGGGATCAACAGAGCAGAGAGGAGGGGAGACAGTGGTGCTCTTTCTCTTTGCCTTCTCTTCATCTGTTTCTCCTCCTTCAGCTCCCCGCACCTCCCTGTTTCCCCCTCCACCTCGACCTCTTCTCTTGTTCATTCGCTCCACTTCTCTCCAAGTTGTAGCGCAGTTTTATTAAAACTCCCAAGGTGGCCTCTCTATCTACAGCATTGATCAGCTAGGGGGTTTGGTTTTTTCTTCTAAAGGCTCTTTTGGTCTATCAACAGGTGTTCACGAACATGCAAAACACAATCAAAAACTATTTTGATGAATCCATAAAAAAATTAAAAAGATTGAACGGCTATAGACTTCGATATACAGATAGACGCAGAGTTAAACGCATTCTACAATAACCAGTATTGAGAGTGTCTCCAGGTACATGAGTCATGCCATTCAACATCTTTGTTTACATTCCTCACATATATTTCTCCTTCGTCATGAAGTATTTTTGTCATTTGTGTGGCATGGATCCTATTTGTCTGGAAGACCTTAGATGACGTTCTGCGTATATATTCAAAAACACCCTGAGACAATGAACTACAAAGCATAAAGCATATAACCTGCTTGTTATGCACATGTTCATAAGGGGACATTACATCTGTTTTAAGTTGACCAGGAGAAAACAAATATTCCCACATCAAATTCAAACCACATTTGTGTGTGTTGTTTGAGACAGTTGAAACAAGAAGAACAGGAATCAACAAACAGGAAGAGAGCTATCCATTTATGTCAAGGGTTTCCAATGGGAATGACACATTCCACATTCTTACATCACTGATGCTGCCACGTAAATGCAAAAATACTCACTTGGGCGTATGTAACCTGTAATCAAAGCATATTATTATAGTTTCTAAAGATACATTTGATCTGTTTCGTTGTACATTTCAGTTCCTTGTTTAGTCATCATTGAATTTGAAATCTTCTCTATGAACACGCACCACCTTGCCTCACCAGCATCCGCCACCCAAGCCTCCAGCCAGTTTCTCCACAGTCATAAAAGTGACCCCCCTACCCACCCCCATGCACACAACTCCTGACATGTGAAGGAGAGGAGAGGAGAGAAAAGAGGAGGAGAGGTGGAGAAATGGAGAGGTGGCGCTCGGCGGGGTGAGGTTGGCCGGTATTGGCAGTAGAGTGACGACCTTAACCCTCTCTCTCTGTTTCTCTTTCTCCCTCCTCCCCCCCTCCCTTCCTAAGTAGGGTATCCCAGCCCTTGCTTGACCGCTGTGTGCCAGACTATACCACTTTCACCACTGTGGGGGACTGGCTGGACGCCATCAAGATGAACCGCTACCGTGACAACTTCGTCAACGCCGGATTTGCTTCTTTTGACCTGGTGGCCCAGATGACGGCAGAGTGAGTGGAGAGAGTAGATTCCGCTAGGCCTAAAGTGATTGACTGAGGCTGAGTTTGAGAGTCAAATTAGTCATAGAGAATGACCTTGAGAGAATAAATATAGTCTTAAGGATAAATCAAACACAAGATGCAGAAGGGGGCTCTGATTAGGCTTTAACACAACATGATAAACAGATATAAAGAATAAAACATAAAGCGTAACTTATTCTGGTAAATGTAGCAGAAATATATTTACCATGCCTTGCATTGTTATTAGTTTCAGCAGTTATGTCCACAAAATGTAAAAAACACGGTTGTTAAACAGCTCCAAAAGAAAATGTAGAATATCCTGGATACCAAATTAGGGATAGACAAAATGGAAAAACAGAAGATTATCCATGCTTTTGCTGTGATTTGGTATGTAATTGACCAATCATGATAGTTCGCCGTAGAGTATTTTGTAATCAGGATGGAACTAATAACAATCACCTGCTTTGAAAGCCAGGAAACCAGATACACAATCAACAAATACACAATTTAACAGCGCAGTACATTTTCTTAGAAAACACTCGTCCCTGCTTCCTTAACTACAATGTCCAGTTGACCTTGACGATTCTCGTGTTTACAAACAGGAAATTATGTAATGTAAGTCATGGAAATTGGAAGCCGCTGATGATCAAATAAATGAATTAGGATTATAATGATAAATAAATTACCCTCATTAGTTGCATAATAAGCAATGGAGGTGGGGGTAATTTGTTTCAATTTGGCTAGGCTGACAGGTGTGGCGTACTGTGGCTCTTCGTTTCCTTTAATGGCCAGTAATTCCTCTAATGGTGCCCATTTATTATCATTTCATCCTCCGTTGCTGCACTGATGGGGGTGGCGAAATATATTTGAAAAAAAACAAAAAAACACCATTTATTGGTGTGAAATTGCAGTGATGCACCCTTATTTGGCTTTGCAGAGAATGGATGTAAAGTGTGGATCTGTGTGTGTGTGCACAAGTACATGTGCATGGGTGTGAGTTTAGGTGCACACTTATGTACTAAAATGGATGGGGCCGCAAAGTCATTGAGACAAGCAGAGTCTTTGGTGTCTGGGTATAATATTAGATTATCAGGAGTGTGTGTGTGTGTGTGTGTGTGTGTGTGTGTGTGTGTGTGTGTGTGTGTGTGTGTGTGTGTGTGTGTGTGTGTGTGTGTGTGTGTGTGTGACTAAACGGAGAGGACGCAGAACCCCAGCAGTGAGCTAATCTCTGCCCCAGACGCTGTCCGCTCTCTCCTTAGCTATCAACTAGGGAAATCAAACAAGAGAGCGGAAAAGAGAGGTTCTTGTGATATAATTGTGGAGCGTTAAACCAACATGGCCGTGCTGATTAGATTATGCCGTCTGACTAATGACAGCCAAAGCAGGTGCACTCTCCCAGGCTTTTTTTAAGGGTGAAGTAATGTCAACTGTATGTCAATGTCTTCATATTTTCCCACTACACTGTCAACCACAGGTTAAGGCCCTCTAGCTGATGTGAGCACTCAGCTACAAAAAATATTTACAATCTTCCAGTCTTATTTGCTGTAGTTTTTCTTGGATATTTTTAAGCTGTGAGGAATACTGTGCAACAGTGACAAAGTTAAAGCTGATTTACTGGAACACAGAACCACTCTAAGTATGAATGACAGTCTCCTTACAGAGTAATCTGTCTTGTATCTTACAAAAAAATAAACCGCTTCCCTGTTTCTGTAGCTAAGTGGCAGGTTGGTGTGGACTCTGTGAAGTCTGCCATCTGCCGAACAGTAGCTAAGTTTGCTCTTTAATCATTAACTATAACATTATGGCCCTTTGACTCCCATACTCTTGCCCATCTGCTGGGAAACAGAAGTATGTTGGATTAAGACAAGCATTAACTATAGCTGGGTGAGTGTTCCCATTTTGTTGACATAACCTCTGGTAGCCATTTAATGGGTTATTGCCACGATGCTGTGGTCTCTGTTTCCACATTGTAGAGTGTTTGTTTACTTGTGGGTGAGAAGTAAAATTTGCACTTCAACTTCCTTCATGCGATGTTTACTCTAAGTCTTTTTTATGACTGAGCCACCTGTTCTTATTTTTTTCTCTCTCAACAGGGACTTGCTTCGGATAGGAGTAACGCTTGCCGGCCATCAGAAGAAGATTCTCGGTAGCATTCAGGACATGAGACTACAGATGAACCAAACACTTCCTGTCCAGGTGTGAGCGACAGGACAGATAAACCCATGCAGTCGAAGGACAGCCAGACAGGAAAAAGGGGGAGGAACTGTGCCAGAGAGAGCCATTGGAAAACCCTAGCTGCCTGACCCATCTCTGCCAATTAGACGCTATAAAACTGGCTTGCAGTGCCTCTGACAATTTTTTTCTTTATTTCACTACCACTTCCTGTTCCTGATTTTGTGTTATTCGTCATTGTTGCTTTTCCATCCAATGAGAATTTGTGTGTTTTTGAAAGAGGAAGAAGAGTAAACCCCCTTATACCCCATGCGTGCCTCACTAGCTCCGGTGTGGGTTGACGTTTGCATGCATGTGTGTTTTAGTGAGGTTGGCCTTAGCCCTGTAACTGAAATGTCACACTCCCCATGACCTCTCAACCCAGCTTGAAGATGAACTTTATAACCAGTACAGAATGAACACCCTGGTGTAAAAAAAGTGAACAAATGCTCACTCCCAAAAGAAGGAAAACAAAAACCGAGATGTTTTGGACCCACAGGACATACAGGACCATTCTTTCCCTGATAGCAGTGGTTTTACTGTGCACGCGTGTCATTCTCCATCTTCATATTGAAGGTGTATTATACACTTGCTGGATAAGGGTGAGGTGGTGGAAGAAAATGTATGATGGGCTGAGGTCAAAGGTCAAGAGGATGACAGAGGTTGAAAAGGTCAAAGGAGGCCAGCCACATTTTTGGACACTTTTGCTGAATCCTCCATAGGTCAAAAGATGAACTCTTCACCCTGACCTGAAGTGACTCAGGATAGCTCCACAGCTTGGGATCACCTGCTCATCATCTGTTCTTTTACACATACAAGTGGTTTATTTTTATTCGTCCACACACTTTTTTTCTTCTTTTTTTTTGGCTTTCTTACACATTTGTGGGAGATTTGTGGTTTCAAAATGGCCGGTCAAACCTAAGTACCCCAACTGAACGCTGTATGTGATTAAGGGGAGACGAGGACTGTGGCAACACTATAGAAAGACCACTTGGCCTTTTGTGTGCGTTTTTGTATGTGTGCGTGCGTGCACATATGTGCGTGTATGTGTGATTAAGTGTGCTTGGATGTGTGGGTGTGTCAAGTTGCACTCAAGTATACTGTACAATACAGCTTCCGCTATTTGCCACCGTGGAGAATTAACGCATGAACTGAACTGTGACATGGAGCAAATATATCTGAAACAACTACGCTATATTCTGTGGACAACTGTTAAACATTCTTTTTAATTGAATCCAAAAAATGAACTCACAACACATATATATATATACATCTATATATATGTACAATGCAGAGACTGAGAGAAACCATGATGGACACCATCTGGATTTAGAAATAATCAAAATTCTTATTTTAATATCTTGACATCCTGCCCTATGTATTTATTTGTACCTCGCCTACCAATCCCCGCCCCCCACCAACCCCCAGATGGACTGAATTTGGGACAGTGGACTTGGAACAATCAGAAGGAAAAGAGACTCAAAGAGGATTCGCCTAATGAATTGCTGATTATTAAACAAAAGAAATTGCATATAAATTGGATATTGTATTTTTGTTGTTGTTCTAAACAGCCTGTAAATGTTTTGTAACAAAAATACTATAAATAACAAAAGAAAAATGGTGTTTTGACAAAATGAAAGTGTTGTGATGTTTGATTTAGAGTGAAATTAACAGAACGAAAAGTAAAAAAAGAGAAAGTCAGGAGAGAGAGAGAGAGCTATAACACCCGTGGTTAGACATGTTGCCCTTTTGTTATTCATCCATTGTTGTGTGAGTGTTAGTGTAGGTGCATTCAAGTGTGTGTGCCACCTGACCTGGATGTGATGCTTCCGCAATCCATTCTCATTCTCAATATACAGAGCATCTGTGAACCACTGAGCTGTTACTAATCGTCTTCTAGTCACATTAATCTAAACTAAAATACTCCTGCAAAACACTCAAATGTTTACCTAGGTTTTTAATTTGTCTTATCTACCATCACCTCCAACAAAAGGATCCTCCTAAACTCTTTATACTGAAGAGTAGTATGTACAACTCTTAAGGTATCATTAGGGAGAATGTTCAGAGATGATGCAACCAATCATTTCAATCACCCCAGAGGCAGAGCTCCATCAGTAGACCTGAAGTTTGCCTTCCTGCAACAGGATCCTCATCAGAGAATCCAGAGCTGTCAAGAGAAACCTATTGGTCTTTGTCTGTCAGCTCGATTAATGCAGCAGCCAATCTGGCATTGTGAGTATACGAGCATCCAGTGAGCGCAGACATACAGGGTTCTGACCTATCATTATCTCTCTTCATTTCCTGTCTGGCCTGCAATCATCCTGTCTCAGCTCAGGCTGCTGCGTGATTAGTACAGTGCAGGATCAACAGCCCTGGCATGACAGAAAAAAATCTGCAGACCCCCTCATCCTAAATGATAGCAGCTGCATCACGGAGAATGTACTATTTGTACTTCTCACTGAGGGGTGTTTGATAGTAGTGGATTGTGGGATGGGGCTGCACCGCTGCTGTGATCTTCCAGACAGAGTCCATATTGTTCGGGTTGGAGCTGATCAATGCAATATGTGAATAATATTAGTGAGCTGTCTAATAATAGCATGATGTTAGCGGCTAAGCATTGTCTTCCCATTTTACTTTAGTCCGCCTCTCAAAAGCCATGGAGGATATTATGCAAAAACACATGTTCCCTGTTTTATATTATTTCTTCTTATTCTACATACAAACGTTTTTAATTATTCTAGTACCGTATAAACCTGTAACAGTTGTAGCACACAATCAAGTAGTAATTTGACTGTTGTGTTCTCAAACTACAGGAATTAAGTCTCATATCCCTTCATTGTTTTCACCGGTGGAAGTGCAGTTTTCTGATGGCTGAGAATCAGAAGCGCTTGTATTGCCAGCGTTATCTATTATTTTGATGAGAATGTGCTCAAAATACTTGTTAGTTAAGCCAACATTTGTCTTCATATAATTCTGCAGATTTATTTTGTTTCTCCCCAAAGCTAAAACATCATTTTGATTGGAAACGAGTGACAGTCTACTTTTGGAAATGAGAGAAGAGCAGAATTAATGCAATCAGAAGCTCACTTTCACCCAAAGTCTCCCAGGAATATTCAATTGTACTCCCTTCTGCACTGAGCTCAATTATTCAATCAGCTAAGCCCCACTGTTGTAGAGTCGCTTGTGGCACCAAAAAGACACTGATGAGCATACAAATAGAGGAGGGGGGCAAATGGGGGCTAAACACAATCAGATGGCAGACATGCCCACTCGTGAAAAATGGCTGCGCTTTGGAGCTTGAACCATTGATGAGGTGCACATGGTGCGCTGTGGTCTGGAGTTGTGTTCACCAAATTCAACTGGCCGTGAGTGATGAGCTCAACTGGCACTGTAGCGCATCTTAAAATGATTAAACTGCCACCACATCAACTGAAAACAATTAATCATTAAGTGGATCTTTCACACATTCATGGCAGTGTTTCATACTTAACATTCACAGATAGGAAAGAAACCCCTCTTACAGATGCTTGCTGAAATTAAGATCGACTGTTATGTTTGTTCGTGTGTAAAAAAAAGGTTTCTATTTTATACAGAAACACTTTGATCAGCAGAGGTTAGGCTTTTTCAGATGTGGTATCTCTTTGTGTGCCAATAAGATTCAAACTTTCCCAACATTCCTTCCACCTTTCCTTTCCTATTTTACATCCTTCACAGATCATCAAACACACCCACCCTTCCCGTAAACCATACACTAACAACTCTAATTTTCTTTTCTTCAGTTGTCTGTTTTGAATAAATATATACAGTACTGTCTTTTCTTCTGTCCTCTAACAAGCTAACTCCACATCTGTATTTTGTTTACTTTTGAAAGCTCCTCTTGTTACAAGGAAGTGAGATGTTTCCGAGAGTAAATGTATAGTGAGCTGCAAAGGGGGACAGAGTAAAGTGCTGAGAAATGCAATTGTTAATTCCTCTTTGAAAAGCATTAAGATGTATTTAATGGTGCAGGCATACACAAACAATTACTAAAAATGATGGTGCATTCTTGTAGAAATATTTTTAAAAGACCCTTTTGCAATTAAATTATTTAAGAAATGTGACCCGATCTCCTGAGTTTTTGTTTTTTTTGTTTTTAAAAAGATAACTCACCCATGTGGACTTAATTATTCTTCCATAAGGTACCATGCCAGGTCATAATCACACTCATGTTCTCCAGTTGAGGAATCACCCAAGACAAACACATAACATGTCATTGCTTATCATTTATGGCCGTCTCTTGCTCCTATAACAATTTCCAGGACATAATGCTATTTTTCAGCATTTATCAGTAAAATGTCTTGTTGATAAAGTGGTACCAGAAACTCCATTCAGATAACCACCTGCTTCAGATAAATATTTTAAAGTTGGCAAATGTCTTATTCTTGCTCAGTGTACAAGTCTCTGATTTGATTTTGAGGCAGGTTAAGCCTGCATTTCCCCCCTTGCCTTGAAAAGGCTTTAGGACATTTAGAGTAACACTGTTTGTTTATAATGCTGTCTTTCATCTTTATAGCTACAGGCACATGATGAATGGATATTGATCCGTGGGAAAAGTTACCCAGAGTTCATCTATTTCTAATGCTCTTTCAGCCGCTAAGGTGCTCACTATTATTGAAGCTCCTACTACAAGGTAAAGACCACTTTTGTAAAGTAGTGTGCCAAATTTAGCTCAGAAAAGCCCTAGTTTAATTGTACATCTGACCAGCGGAATAACGAACATCAGCACTATTATTCGAAGGTTACCATCACAATGGGATTTGATGTTCTTTCAGCCAAAAAAGGTTTTCAAAACATGTCGTCACAACTAAATCAAAAAGTTTGCAATCCATAGAACCATGTCAGTGGCATGTAACACTAAAGCTCCCTATATTGTCTTTCAACCCACTAATTTATACGAGGTCCTCTCATCTCTGCAGGCACCGAGCCAACAGTCTTGTTTTTCAGCAAAAAAGGAGAGATGCTCAGATCATAGATTCTACCTCATCTGCCCCTCGCCTTGTCCCCTGGCTCCCCTCTTCTCCCTTTCCCTGTCCAATTAAATACAGAGTCTTGGAATGGGTGGTCTCGGTGTCTGGATAGAGCAGATATTTTTGAATCGCTCCCCCCTAGATGCGCTCGGAGAAGTTTCAGAGGATTATGTGGGTTATTTTTGTGCTGCAGTAGGCAGAATACATTTCATCTCAGATCTTCCAAACTTCTACAGCTTCTTGTTTTTAACTGTTCTTGTTAGACGATGGACACACTTTATTAAATGTCCAGCAGCATTTCACAGCCAAACAGTCTCCTTTTTCTTGGCACCTCTTTGGCAGAATAAAAGTTAACAATCCCATGTAGAGGAAATGTAATTATTTACAATGATACTGCATGTATCCTGAAACAGATTGAGAACCATATCATCGATTTTGATTTGTTTTGACCAGCCCAGATTGGTGATACTCCTTCAGTGCTTAATACGTAGTATAATCTGTCAGTTTGAGGCAAATATGGACCAATACCAAAATGAACTAGAGCACTGTATACTTTACTACAGCTATTGACATAGTGTCCCATTACTCCAAGCTGCAGAATATTGATTCTGTGCAGGCCTGTTTCATCAAAATATGCCATATAATGCGCAGGGGAATTATTGAGATGTCAATTAAGATCAATTTCTTATCCCTGAGGCCCCATTAGCATAAATATCTAAATGCATTAGCATGTCTTTGCCACATGTTGGTCAGGACGAGTATCAATGCAAAACATGATCACAAAGCAATAGAAAAAATAAATAATCCTCTCCCTTAAACCTTCCTTACCCACTCCGTCCCCCTCATTTCCAAAGCCAAACTCTGTCTCCCTTTATTCTCCTTACAGACAATCCCTCGCTCTCCCCCGTTTACTAGCTTCCCACTAACACCCCCACACTCGTTCTCTCGTCTACTTCTTCATCCTCTCCCATCTCTTCTGCCATAATCCATCTCTTTCACTTCAGCTTGGCACAGCTAATTGGTCACGTCTGTACTGTGACATGGGGACCTGACATAATTGCTGGACAAATAGCGAGGCGTTTAGCTTTGGACCTGTCTCAGCCATAAGCTGTACACAGACACCAGCCGACTGGAAAGCCTAATTACCACTCCAACCCCACAACCAACTTGCTAATTGTCAAACACTTGTGTGTGTGCCTTCGTGTTTTTTTGCACCTTTGTTTTCTTCGTTGCGTTACAAATCCTATAAAACAAACAACAACAACCACAGAAATATAAGAATAATGCATAACTCTACAATCGTAGAAATACAAGACTTACAACATGTGTTATTAATTTCCATAAATTGGTCATCTGTGAAATGTCCGTTTCAGTGTGTCATACATCACATTCTTGTTGTTGTTGTTATTATTATGCTGTTTTTCATGACAATGCTAATGAAATGTCCCGTTTGATTAGCAGCTCATTCCAGACTTTCTCCACACACCACGCTTTTTTTTTCAATATCCTTTCCTTTCCACCATCTTTCTAACACATGCACTGTCTTGCAGACTTGATTGAACTGATTATCACTTCTCAAGGTTTTCGGCATTTGATTAATTCCTTGCTTTTACAATACATTCATTATGTTGCACCAATTTCAGCTTATTTCTCCCATTTGTTTGCCTTTTAGCCCTTTGTGAGTGTGAATAAATGAATTAGGAAGTGGTTCTTGGTGAGCATTATTATTACATACTGTGACCCATATAAGGCATATTTTAGAAATACATGTTTTTTGAAGAACAAAGGGATGCTTCATTTCGAATAGCTACGATATAGTAAATAAATATTAACATAGTTGAAAAACACATTTTTTACTTTGTTCAATGCTTCTGCTGTTCGTTTCTATTCAATGGAACATCACAAAGGATTATCCTACCGCAAACCCCTGACATATTTGACCACCCGCTCACATCACCCCCTTCCACAAAAGGGGGACCCAACCTTTTCTGCCCAAGAACAAGCATCCTATTGTTGGGTGTTTGGGTGCAGCTGCATGTTCATTCTGTCTGATGGGTTGAGTATGTCTGCCAGGGAAACAATATTCAACAGGACTGTGCCCGGAGACCGCGGTGTGACCTGGAGTTCACGGTCAAAGCTGGACAGTTGGTGGGAATCTGTCACATGTGAGAGGTATGGGAGCCTTCAGGTATGGCGAGGCCACTGAACAAGCGTATCAAAATGCTGCTGTGGAATGATAAGATGTCCTCATGGCTGCAGTTATCAAGATAGAGACTTAATTCACTGTAAACGGAGCGTAATACTAACACATGACGTATAAATCACATGGCCTAGCATGAAACTGCACCGACGTGGGTCTGCTGCTCAGGGGAATGGAGCTCACACATACAGCAATGCATACGATGCTCTGTGAGATAATGATTATATTTTCTTCCAGCCGCCTGCTGAGCTTGTGTCCTCTTCACAGTTTAGCAGACGTCTAGCAGGCTTATGTTTGTGTGTTACGGAGAGTTTTTATGCACTGCAATGTTTGCAAAAGGCTTCAGGCACGTTGACTGTTCATGAAAACAGTGCAGTATGCTGATCAAAAACATAATGATTTCAATATGGAAATGTTAAACTGTGGGTACTCAAATTGTATTGATAAGGTATGGACTCTAAACTCAAGGATGGGCAATCGACCTGTATGCGCAGCACAATCAATTGGAGGACACACATATAAGATCATCTTTTAATCGGTTAATTGACCTGCCTGCAGGAGCCATCTGTGGACTACCTGTCTGTCTGGACCTATCAATTGAAAAAATAATCCTTGTACCGAATACAAATTTGCAATAATCATTCTCAGTTTAGCTGATCTAATTATGAAGAATAATATCCCAACAAGCATCTGCTGTCCACTATTGCTTTGATGGGAATAGTCAAACTGCACCATCGATAATCTTGCTCACCAGCTAAAGATAATGAATAGCTTGTGCTTTGCACACAAGAAAGATGGTCATGACATTGCCAAGTCGAGGTCATTTTTGCTCTCCATTGATGTCATCGGTAGGCATGAAGGGAAGGGCCTTGTTCCTGTCTGACATCTCATTAACTGCTTGTCGATATTTATCAGTCTTAATCAGAGCTGTGGCAGGTCTGGTGTGATTACTTCCTGGGTGTGAAAGCAATCACACCTCGTCCTCCCCACTGTCCTTGATTTACGGAGGGAAAAAGAGTCAGGCATGTTTAAGGAAGTTTGAGATGGCTGCAATAAATGAAGATGGAATGGAAAAAAGCACATTCCCAGATTCTGCTTTATCTTTCCTTATTGCAACCATACTGTGCAAGATAAAATACATCAGCATCAGTAATGACAGACTATTTGTGTTATCTCTTAACAATTCAGTAAAGGGATTTATTATAGTGTGTCTTCACCAAATGATTAGTATGAACATCTCAGAAGTCGAAAAATCACATTGCAACTACGGTAGAATTGTTCTATTACATTCGGAATGGAAATATTATTTATTGTCATGACTGTTTCACCGATCAAACAACTTATTTATTTTGTCTGTGAAATCAAAACACTATACCTTCAAAATGATTTCCAAAGGGTTTATGTGCAGTAATTATTCTGAAATGTAAAATAAGCATAGTATAAATATCAAATGAGAAGAAAATATCACAGAGACTTGATACTTTATTTACACTAGGGTAAGAAGAGGAAGAAAGAAAAGTGGAAATGAATATATCCTAAACACACAACAACAGAAACTCCTGTCAAATAAAATGAAAGGTAAAATGTGTCCCTGATAACAATGTCCTGTATTCATTCTGTGGGCCAACCACAGGGCTGATGATCGACCAATTATTTCCTTTGCCTTTTACAAGAAACATATTGAACCATTTTGATCGCAGAACATCCATATACGTAGCCTAAAGCAGTAGAAAATATTGCCAGCATGCAATCAATTGGAGGGGAAAATAATCACCCTATAAAAAAGATAGCATCAACAAGAGAAACAAATTATTTGAAAAAACAGAAATATAAACTCAGCCAGAGGAGGAAGATGGACTGAAATAGAAAAATGGAACAATGATCTTGTCCAGCA